CACAGTGAGTGTGCAGTGACCTCACATTGACCATAGTATGAGCACACAGTGAGTGCGCTGTGACCTCACACTGACCACAGTATGAGCACACAGTGAGTGTGCAGTGACCTCACATTGGGAGCATAGTATGAGCACACAGTGAGTGCGCTGTGTGGTTACACTTTTAGCTCACTGTGACACACACATTGTGACCACACCATGAGAATCGTGTGAGCTCATGGTGACATCATTGTGAGATCAAATTGTTGACTGGGTATTTATGCCTCAATGCATGCTGGGAAGACAGTGAATGGACTGAACCATAAAACCATTGGATTCACTCAATAATTTCTTTATTAAGAATTGTTCAGACAGAATGATTATACCCTTTGTAAAATAGTGTAGATATTATTCCAAACATGTTTATTATACAATTATTTATGTTACACAAATATGGCCACAAAATATATTATTATTGAAAATAATAAAGATAAATGAAACTCAACAGGTGGTCAGTGGAGAATTAAACAGAAATCCAGAAACCAGTTTAAAAGTCTGTAAAAGTCTTCTGCATTCCAGCTTTAGAATTTGGATTTGTCTTAGACATTTAGGGCTTTACAAAGACAAATCAAAATCACTTCAGATAAAAGTTTCCATTAAATGACTGATCATTAGTGAATGTTCTCGCTTTAATGCTGTCCAGCTAAATTATGGTTTATGACACTTAAGTGTGCACCACAGTGCCTCATAGAAAACGTTTTGAATGATGTGTAATTGGAGAGCATGTGTCTTTGGGGATATGATCTCTCTATGATCAGATAATGATGATAAAACTGAATTATGCATGATGATTTGAAGATTAAAGTGAAACAGAAGTCTCAAAGATGTGCCAGGTTGAGGCCAGAGTTCACAGACAAAACAAAGCCTGCTGAGGAGTCAAATGCTTGATCTGACCCTATGCTGTCACATCTGAAGCCACAGCAATGTTAAATGACTGATGGATAACTGATATGTATATTATATAGTGAACTGAGAGGAGCTGCTTGTAACCGCATACGTGGTGTAATCTGAGCATCATTTTTGAATCTCTGGTTATTCAGCTGTTAACATATGAAATTATTTAAATATGAAATTATCTTTTGAGGCTCTACTGAAATTTTCAGCTTTATGATTTTGTCCATATACACTCTCATACAGTGCAATATAAGGGAAAAAACAGTGCATTGGACCGTATTTCTACATTGTGTGTTACACCTTTATCACCTACAACATGTTCATGCACCAGCACCATCATTCTCTTCTTCACTGTAATTTGATGCCACTTTCTCTTGCTGCTTTCTTTCTCTGAAGGACAAGAACTAACCATCCTGCTAATGTGCCACAGAAATAACACCTCCAAATTCAGGTTAAAGCTTCAACGGGTCAAAGACACAGAAAGGCACACATTTATCTAGCTATCTAAATGAGGACATACCATAGACAAACTCTTTTTATATAAAGTTAATTATATTTACAACAAACAAAAACTAACCCAAGCCTTAACCCTACACCTAAAAGAAGACCTTTAGCATTTTTACAAATGCAAATAAACAAATTAACACGGCAACTTTTTTGTCTTTGTAGTTTGTACTTCATACAGAACCACTAATGGGACATAGTGATGGTAAAACAAATTAGATGGGAGAAAAAAATAGTATTTCAATGCTATTGTGTTCTCTCGCTAACATTTTGTGTTCTCTGAAGAAACTTCGCATTTGCTCACAAATCATTGGTCTCTCGCAAAATTTGTGCTTCCCCCAAAACATTTGCATTCTCTCGTAAAATTGCAAAAACTTTGCATTTACTCACAAAAAGTTTTGTGTTGGAAATAACATATGTCTCAGTGCAAGATAATTTATACATACAGCTGTATAAATCTCAATTTAAAAAAATGTACCCTTATTACTGGTTTTGTGGTCCAGGGTCACATATACAGTATTAGTGAGGATGCAATGATTTTGAGATTTACTAAAAGAGATTTACTAAACCAGTACCTTAAACCCAACCCTCAAACCTGTTGGCATTATTTAAAGCAAACATGACTTGACCCATTTATTAGCATTAAAAATTCAAGACAAATAGCCAACAGCACAAATAGCAACACTTCAAATGTCGATTTTCAACGTTTCACTATTTCTGTGAGCACATTTAGAAAATATTATAGCCCAAGCTGAACACATAAAAATAATCTCTTCATCACTCTGTGCCTGAGCTGGAATAAATCAAACCATGAATTAAATGAAAGTGAATTTGTTTAATATGTGAAGAGAAGGGCACTTATCTGAAAAAGCATATATAAAGAGCTGAAAGGGTGTGTTTAACTGCCTTATTTCTGAAGCCCATTCAGCAGTGCATCATTATAATCAGCATCATTATAAATGTAATACAGGTAACAGAAATCACATTGTTACCACAAAGCCTTTTTTGAGACCTACACCTGATAACGTCACAAGACGCCTATTCTGTCACTACAGTGGGTACGGAAAGTATTCAGACCCCCTTCAATTTTTC